TCTCCTTATTCAGTTTTCAACTTTCCAAAGGTTCACATTTGTCTGTGGCAGTGTTTCAAGATAAATACACTATCAGGCTTTGAAATTTTCTTATTTTTGTAAATATTAAAGCCCAGGGAGCAAAATAAAGGGCTATATTGTGGATTAAGTGAAATATCTCAAGGCTGCGCTTTTCTGATAACTGAACCCGAAGTGACCTTTCTCAGACACAATTACAGAGCTGTATGTTTTTCCTTTAATTTCATCAGGGGTTTAATTAGTATACAAATAAAACTTCTCTTATCTTCCTTTCTACCTAATTGGCTTGTCTACGCTTATATATGAAGCATGTGAAAGTGGGCTGTAATTAGGGTGACCGTGTTAACCTTTTTTTCTCTCCAACGTACTCCTGCCTCAAGGCCTCAAGGCCTAAAAACAGTGATTTGGATTATTGCTTTGCAATCACCGTGCTTCTCCCATCGGCTTTCTCACGAGCAGAAGGGCTTTGGGTGCTGCCGGTTCCCACTGCTTAACAGGGATCTTCATCCTTCTCCCTTCTAAATGTTTATTGATTATCTCACTGTTCCACACTCAGCCTCCAACAACTTAATATCAGGTGACAGTCAGGAGAGTTCTCCAAGTAATTAGAGCTGAGCATTGGGGGAACAATTAGGACCAGAGTTATTAAACTTGATTTATCCTATTCTCTCCTGAACAGTTTCTTGGATATCAGAACATCACACTTTCACAATCTACCCTGGTTGAGAAATTAGTGGCTAACCTGCTGCTTATCATTGTTGCCTTGCTGCCTGGAGGCACACCCTCTTGGTTTCAGTCATTCAGCGAGAAATATTAGAGTCCATAAAGTTTATCAAGGGTTTTAATTAGATCAATCTGAAGGAATGGGCAGTGCAGGGTGGGGAAGGAGAAAGGCTTAGCAGCTCAAAGTATATTACTTTAAAGAACTCCAGACTGTAATTCAACAATTTCCAAGGTTTGCCTTTAACCCACGAAGGCCAGGACTTAGAAGCAGAGATGAAACCTCTTCTTGAAGTTGTTTGTGTTGTAGTGTGTATCAAAAGGCAAGGAAGAATATCCATAGTTCAAGATTTGCCTAATTTTTGCCTCTCTTTGAATCATGGAAACCATTAGTGCTATTATGTTTTTGCTTTATTGTCATTTAATGTCATGGCAATGAGGCCACATATTCCGAATAGAGTCACATCCTTTTGAAAATGTTTCTTAAAACAGGATGCCAGCTTGCATAGCAAATGCATATTCAAGCCATCTATATCCCACCAAAGGAGAAACAGTGCCAGGGTGTAACTATAACAAGGCACTGTTGTATGAAATGAATTTCCACTTTGGAAATTCTTCATAGAAGAAGTTGAGATGGTTCACTTGTAGCACTAAAGACCTTATCACATTAAGGTTGGGATTTGCCATGCATTATGGTGAATCCATAAGGTCCCATTGCCATTGAGGAGTGTGAAGAACCCATGCCCCGCATCACCCAATTTACTGCTGGCCCCATCCCACAGGGGGAAGCATCCATCACCCGGCTTCCCCCCCCCCCCATCATTGCAAAGGCAACATGGGAAGCCGCTTATGTTGCTGCAGTAGTGGTGTATGCCACTTGCTCTCCCCTTTTGCCACGGACCCCTGCTGGAAGTAGATACATCATGTAATGGGCTCTGTGGCAAAAGGGGAGAACAAGCAGAGTACGATGGGCAAATTAGCCCATATGATGAGGTCGTAAATCATCCAGAGTTTCTACATTTTATTCAGACTACAGTTACAAACCATAGCTTGAGAGGTGTTTCTCTGATTTGGAGATCATGTGTAAACCAAGTTTGCCAGTTCAACTGGCAACTTATGGTTTGCTCTAAAGAACAAACTAACCCCCTGTGGTTGCTTGCGGTATCCTGGGAACAAAGGGAGTAGAGGCAAGAGTAGATACAGGGCTTATGCGGGATAAATATATCTTGTGTTCATAAATTTTGCTTCCTCGTTCTATGTTTTCATGACAGTCATCCAGGGCATATCTTTGAAAAGAAAAGCTGGAAAGGCCTTCTCCTTCCAACTGCCCATATAGTTTACATTAATAACATTTTGGTTTAGCATTCATAGAATCATAGAGTTGGAAGAGACCTCGTGGGCCATCCATTCCAACCCCCTGCCAAGAAGCAGGAAAATAGCATTCAAAGCACCCCTGACAGATGGCCATCTAGCCTCTGGTTAAAAGTCTCCAAAGAAGGAGCCTCCACCACATTCTCTGTTAAGAACATACTGTGTTCACCAAAGGTTCATAATGGTGTGAAAGCATGGTTGTCATGCTTTTAAAAACTGTCATTTGGATGCTATGGATAAAAAGTTGTATTGATTTTATTCTGTTGTTTGTTCCAGCATCACTGACATCATGGAGCTGGATGACAGGAGCTCTGGAGCTTTTAGTGATAGAGTGGTGGGCCCAATGCTAAAACTTCTTCATTCACTGCACTAGACACCTGGAACTGAATTTACAGTTCCTTGTTGTTAACTTTATTTATACCCCGTCTTCTTCCCAAAGATTCAGATTTGGAGTTAGCATGGTCTGAGCAAGCAGGACTTTAACATACATTGAAAAACACATGTATAGTCTGGTGATGAAATATTGTAATGAGATAAAAAGATGGCTATTTTTGGCAAGGTTCTCATTATCTCATAAAAATGTCCCATTCTCCTAAATTTCTGGCTTTTTATCAGAAAGTCCTCATGTGCTTATAAACTTCTAAGTTAAGCATAGATCATGTGCTCATTTTCATAGGAGTGTAAATTTAGCAGTAGGAGTGACTTTTCCCATTCTCACCTAAATTCACCAAGTAGAAGGAAATCTATCACCCACACCGTTGGTTACAGTAAAAGTTCTAGTTGAGAATGGCTCATCAAAAAAAGAGTTTTGATTAAAGATTGCCCCACAACACACCCAGGCATGGATCCATTGCTAGATTCTTCCTATACCTAAAGTTCTATCCCGCATGAACCATATAGTTGAATCTCAAATGACACACCACTGCATATATAGCACATCACTGGGCAATGAATTGTCTTCCTCTTACTGTCCCGCTTGTCTGTAAAATACTTCTCTGCTCATCCAAGTTTACTCTAAGAAAATAGTTAAGTCAGGGCAATGATACTATATCCATAGTGCCCAAATGACATGGTTTTTAAAAACATGGCAACTACAGTTTTGCACCACTGTGGACCTTCAGTGAACTCGGAAAGTTCTTGACAGAGCATGCTAAGGTTTTGATATTTGTTTAAACTAGACAGAGCACTTGGAAGGAGAAGGCAACTCTAGCTTTGGACTGGACTAGATATCGCACTACTATGCTTGGGAAAGAGTCCGCTCTCATAATTACCTCTTCCAACTGCTGTTGTTGTCCATAGGTTCTTAAGAGGTGCATCTACACTGTAGAATTAATGCAGTTTACATAGCTTTAATGGCCATGGCTCAATGCTATAGGAGTGGAAGGCTTTTAGCCTTCTCTGTCAAATAATGTTGGTGTATTTATAAACTACAGACCTGAGGATTCCATAGCATCGAGCCATAGCAATTCAAGTGGCATTCATTCTACAGTGTAGATGCACCCCAGGTTTCCATTGATATTGGTTAAGTGCAGTCATCCAGTCATTCTGGAAATCAATATCCTCAAAATTTCTGTTTCTTGATGTTTCAAATCCTCCAATAGAAGATGCAAGGAAAAGTTGCAGAGTACTCTGTGGATAGTTAAAATTCCTGGCTCTGTTGTGAAGGTCATAACCTTTTAATTTGTCAAAGTAGCATATAGAAATTTAGTCTTACAACTACACCACTAAATCCTTTTGCAACAAACATTACAGACAAAAGTAAACGTACACTAAAGCTTCACTTTTAGTTTTTTTATGAATAACTCTGTGTACATATTGATGTAAACAAAATGTTGAAGCTGTATAGTACCAGAAACATAATACTGTAATGCCATTCCTCTGGTCTATAGCAATTGTAGTGCCTTTCAACAATGGGGGTGGACAAATGAAAAGAAGATCTTGAACTATGAATTGAAAATACTACAGCAAGCATTACAAAGAATTTGATTGCAGTTTGTGTGCAAATTCTCCAGTTGTTCACCCTTTGTGGAATTTTGTGTATTCTCCATGTCCAAACAGGTGCTCTGCTTGAAGCATTTAATCTTAGAAAGTAGATCTTAAGGCAACCTTCAAAAGACAGGAACCATGTAGTAAATTCTGGAAATCACAAAAGCCACATGACAATTGAATTGCAGTGTTTTGGTGTTTTCTAAAAAATTTGCACTACAGTAGAGAGAACTAGCACATAATAACAATAATAGTAATAATAATAATAATAACAATAACAACAACAACAACAACAACAACAGCAATAAATAATAACACTTCATTTATATACCACCCTATCTCTCCAGAGCTGTAGAATGAGTGGTTTTCTTCCACTATATTTCTAATTTTCTTTTCTCTTCTGAGCAAGCCTCTTCACTATTTTTGTATTCCTTCCATGAATTCAGGAGGCTTTGGATTTTTTTTTTCTGCACAAGGGTGTTGTTGCACTCATGTCCTGCGTATGGACTCCCCACTGGCATCGGATTATCCATTGTCAAAACAAAATGCTGAACTACATAGGCCTTTGGTTTCTTCCACCATTGTTCTTATGTACTTATATTGCACAACAATTCTTCCTTTAAATCAAAACATTTTGACAAAATCACAAGATAACATGCTTTGATACCGCACCTGTAGCATGAGTGGGTGTTAAGATCAGGGTGGTTTTCGTTTGCTATGGGGTACTTAAATATACAATGTGCTGGATGTTTAAGGAGGGTAAAGAGGTACTATTTTTTTTATTAGGAAATAGCCTCAATCTATTTCACAGTCAGTCTGTATTTCTCTTTGTTTAATAGCCTATGGCATAAATTGAAGTTAATTATCGGAGCTGACAAGTAACTCTGTTTTCTGTCTGCTCTCAGAGTCTCTCCGAGGCAAAGATGGAGCTGAGAAGAAAAGATCAATCTCTGCGTCAGCTCAATAGACATCTTACCCAGCTGGAGCAGGACAAGCGTCGACTGGAAGAGAGCATCCACGATGCAGAGAGTGCCCTCCGCATGGCAGCAAAGTGAGCACTGGGGCCTTGGGGAGATCACTTGAAACAGACAAAAGATCAATTCTTACTTTCATGCAAAGGGTTTTAGTCCTGGATAATGCAGTGCTGGAAAACAAAAGTACAGCTGCCTCTCTTTGAAATTTTAGTGAAAGATCCTCTTGAAGAAAGAGAACTTAGTTCAACATACTAATGGCCTGTTTCAGTCATTTTGGAGTCCGTGGAAGGGCACGCTTTAGCACAAGCAGAGTGCATTGTCTCACTGTATGGTGCTTGAACCGCTGGCCTGACTAGCAGCCTAGCAAGCTGTCCTGGTAAATGAGCCAAGTGTTCTTGATGGAAAGCCTGTGTGTGAATAGGGCAAACGTTGTGGCAGAAGTTGACCAGCTCAATGCATGTACCAGATTTGCAGGAACAGGGAAGAGAATATGATGAGTCTTTACACCTACAAGGAGAGCTTTGGAAAGTTTCTCTTTTGTAGTACAACTCCCAGAATGCACAAACCTGGGAAATTGTGGGAATTGTATTCCAGATTAGTATTTTTTTTCAAGCTCTGGTTATAAGATGCTGGGACAGTACAGACGTTTGTCTCTGGAGTGCTAAAAGCTGACAGGTACTAAAAATATAGAAGCAAAAGCTTTCTTGTTGTTGCATGCTTTCAAGTCCTTTCCCACTGATGGCAACATTAAGGTGAACTATCACAGGTTTTTCTTGTCAAGATTTGTTCAGAGGGGGCTTGCTTTGGCTTTCCTCTGGGACTGGGAGAGTGTGATTTACCTAAGGCCACACATTGGATTTCCATGGCTGAGTCCTCATTCAGATCTTGGACTAAAGAAAGACTCATAGTCTAATGCTCAAGCCACAACTCGTAAAAGTAGTCTGCATTACATATTTGGACTTCTAAAATCTCTATCTTTCAGATTCTCCTGCAGAAGCCAAGCATGTATATCACATGGCTGTAATATTTTGTATGTAAAACAGTGACCATAACCTGCCTCTGAACTGACAAGATAACCAGTCTGTCAGTGGGTACTTCTGCCAATTCACAGGATGGCTTCATATCTGGATCACTGCTTCTTATACTGTGGGTCCCAACCCCCAAAAATATCCCCTTAGCTCAATGTTAGGGTTGTGATTGTTTTTCTTCTGAACACCACCTAGCCTCTGTTGTAGACATTTAGATGAATATGTTGTGTGGTGTTTACAGTGGACTCTGCAGGAGATGTTTCAGCTGTACTTCATAAAAAGAAAAAAAATCACCCTGTTTAGCAAGCCTTACAAATACTCATATGTTATCAAGTAAACTATTGATTTTTATACTTATTTTATCTTCCTATATTCCTGGGGTTGCATAAAAATTTCTCGGGATGAAAGAGGTCACAAGTGGAAAAGTTTCAGAAGCCCTGATCTGATTCACCTTCTGCCTTTACAATTTAATGCAGATGGAAATGAAGAAAAGTACTCTCAACATTAAAGGTTTCACTGACCCATAGTTTTAATTAATTAATTGTAAACTGTACACAGAAGCACATGGCTTCCCGGAACAGCACTCAATAACATGTGATCAAAAATAGGAGAAAATAAACAAGTGAGGATGACGAACATTATCTCAGGATAACTATGCTTGTGTTTACATTTGATCCTCACAGCGTGTTAAATCACTGAACTGCTGAACTTACTGACCAAAAGGTCGGTGGTTCAAATAAGGGGAGCAGGGTGAGCTCCCACTGCTAGCCCCAGCTTCTGCCAACCTAGAAGTTCAAAAACATGCAAAATGTGAATAGATCAATAGGTACCTCTCCAGTGGGGGTAACGGCGCTCCATGCAGTCACCCCTTAATCCCAGTGAATGTGGAGAGTTTACTGTACTTTTCCAAAGGAAAGTTTTCTTTTCCTTGAATAGCTGAGAATCATATAATGGTGATTATCCTGTTTTATTCTCAACTCTTTACAACTCTTTGTGATAGATTAAGTGAAAGCTGTTAAGAATGGTTAACGAATCCACATCCCCTTCATTTCTAGAAATTACTTGGATGGCATCTTGGGAATATTTCTTTTGAGTCTCTGGTGGACATTGGGGTTATTGGTGGTGGTTATAAGTACTTTCAAAGAATGTTTGCCAACCGTCGATCTGTCCTCCTCCCTCTCTGGCTAAATCCCTTTTTTACTTGCAAAGAAAACCTCTTATCATTATAAACAGCAGTTCAGGGAAACCCTGCTTGCTCAGCAACAGGCCAACCAGCCTGTTTTTCCTGTCTATCTCACTTCAGAAACTGAAATGATGCTTTGGAGCAGAAGTGTCATTTACAGCCAGGGACCTGTTTTCAGTTTCCTACTGGGATTGTCAGGAACTGACATTTACACCAGAAGCATCATGTCAGCATCTGTGGATACAAGGACTAGCCTGTCAACTAGTGAGCCATATTCCTTTCTGCCACTGATTTTCCATTCTTGAAACTGTAAGGTCCTTTATCACCACCTTCCTGTTGCTTTTAGGCTGTCTGGAGGGGACTGGAAAAGGAATATATTTCAGGCATCAATCTAGATGTTCAAAATAGGTTGCAAATTCTGTTTCAATCACTTAAGAACTCCCACAACTTCCATATTCTCTCGGTTTAGAATGCGTCTTCCTTTTATATGGTTGATCAGTTTTTTAGGGAACATAGGAGGGCAGACTTGTAAAGAGGACTTGGTGAATATGAGGGTAGAAATAGTTAGGAAACCTCCACTTGCAATACCTCACCCACAAACCATTCTGCAATTACTTTTTTGGAGAAAGGCAATTTGGTTTTACAGAGCTGAGTATTCTGCCAATGATCGCCATAGGAGAGAAAACTTCTAAATTCGGAAGGCCCTGCCTCATTGAACAACATGGAATATGCCTTACTAGAAATGGGAAGGCCTGGGAATAAAATTTGGGGAAAAACAAGTTTTTTCTTGGTTTTTTTTTTAAAGCCATTTTTTTCCCCTGGAAGAACTGAAAACTGCGTAGAATATGTTCTTTCCCAATGATAAATAATATATCTATGACATGGTATTCAAACTATAATATATCTATGACATGGCTCCTCCATATTGACATGATGGCAACAGTCTTGGACAGCAGTGGCTCCCAAAGTGACCCATTTAAGGTGGAATCAGGTGTCAAATAGGGATGTGTTATTGCCCCAACCTTATTTTCCATCTTCATCACTATGATACTTCATCTTGTTAATGGGAAGCTTCCTATCGGAGTGGAAATCATCTATCAGCCAGATGGCAAGTATTTAACCTAAGCAGACTGAAAGCCAAAACCAAGATTACAACATCTGTTATAGAACTCCAATATGCTGATGACAACTTCGTCTGTGCGCATTCAGACCAACAAGCCACTCTACACAACTTCGCAGAAGCATACAAGAAGCTCAGCCTGTCATTGAACATCAAAAAAACCAAAGTGCTCTTCCAGCAGTCACCAACCAACCCATCTGCAATGCCAGAAATACAGCTTAATGGTGTAACATTAATGGTGTGACCATTTCCGCTACCTTGGCAGCCACCTCTCCACATTGACACTGAAATACAACACTGCCTGAGCTCTGCAAGCGCAGCATTTTTCATAATGAAACACAGAGTGTTTGAGGACAGGAACATCCGTAGGGATACTAAGGTGCTTGTTTATAAAGCTATTGTCCTCCCAGCCCTTCTATATGCCTGCAAATTGTGGACTATCTACAGACGTCACATGCAGCTCCTGGAACGATTCCATCAGCGTTGCCTCTGAAAAATTCTGCAAATCTCTTGTGAAGACAGGTGGACAAATGTCAGCGTGCTGGAAGAAGCAAAGACCACCAGCATTGAAGTGATGGTCCTCTGCCACCAACTCCGCTGGACCGGCCATGTTGTCTGAATTCCCAATCACTGTCTTCCAAAGCAGTTGCTCTACTCTGAACTCAAGAATGGAAAATGGAATGTTGGTGGGCAGGAAAAGAGATTCAAAGATGGGCTCAAAGCTCTGGCATAGACACCGAGAACTGGGAAGCCCTGGCCCTTGAGCGCTCCAGCTGGAGGAAGGCACGTCAAGCCAACCCCGACTGGGACTGTCTTCCACCTGGAAACCGATACCCTCACTGCAGGAGAATATGCACGTCAGGAATAGGGCTCCACAGTCACCTATGTACCAGGACACCGAACTTGGAGGACAATCTTACTCGGACAATGAGGGATCGTTTAAGTAATCAAATTATATAACACGAAGACCTTACTTGAATTTCTGAGACTTTTTGTTTCTACACACTTTCCCCCCATTTCCCCCCGAAAAGAAATGGCTTTGGGAAAAAAATGGGGAGAAGGTGGAAACTGTTCTCCCGCCCCAATTTTTCGGGTTTTTTTCCAGGCCTTCCCATTTCTAGTCCCTACACATTGTGTGATCTTATGATTCCCTACCTCCTATCATGTTTATCCAGGATGCTGAAATTTCCAAGTCACATCCATTGTTTTGCTGGTTTATAGGTATTCCTTCCATCACTATTTGTCATTGCAATATTGCATTTTGGTTTCCACCCTCAACATTTTGGTTCCTTTCATCTTACATCTGGGTGAACCAAAACTTTCCTTAGTCACATTCTGAATTTCTGAAGGTGGACTTAGTAGTTTATTAACAAATGTTAGAAGGCATCTCATCCAGTCCTGCAATGTCCAGTATGGCATCCTGAGTGGAGCGGATAATTAGCCATCACAGCAGAAATTTGCAGAGACTTATTCATCAATCTCTTGTCTACATGAAACACCATATGTGTGACCTTCATTCAGCTTAAAAGGGGGAGATGTTTTATATTTGAAACCAAAGTTATCCAAGGAGATCAAATCTTGGTAAAGCTAACTCATAATTGTTGTGACCTTGTCTCTGAAAGCTTCTATAAACCTGACTTCTATTTTGATTTTTTTACATTTTTTTTTCAACAGAGAAAAAGAATCAATTGCTAGACACATGAAATCTGTGGAATCTACCCTTCAGAATGTAAGTAGTATTCTTAGTTTCCCTTGTTTATTGCCGTATTTTTTCTTTTTGGCATTTTATCGTTCTCTATTGTTTTCTCTGGAATGCTGGTGGAAGTTTCAGAATGGTCTTTAATATTAACAGCCTGTCTAAATACTTAAACAAAATTTCTAAATGCACTGTGAACCACCCTGAGTCCCCTTCAGGGCTGAGAATGGTGGTATGCAAATACCGCCAATAAATAATAAATAAATTTTGGGATCCTGGTAACTGTTTATAAAGGCTTAATACAGAATAGAAATATGAAAAGTTAATATCAAAATGTTGTTTTTAAGTCCTTCCTTTGACACAGGGCTCCTTAAATTTTAGAAGTTTTATTTATTCATTTTATTTATTTGATTTAATGCATATGATATCTGACTATAAAAAACTGAAGATTAGATAAATGAGTTTCACGTTCACTTGGTTTCGCACATGAGTTTTTTGCTTATTTTCTTCCATGGTTGCAACAAAACTTGTCACAAATTGACATTGTGTCACATTCACAGATTATTTTTTTCTGCAAACTATTTGAGACTGAAAATGTCTGAACATTCACCCCCAACAGCCATTTGAGTAACCTGTCAGCAACACTAGAGTGTCTAGCTCACTTGCTCAATTATTGAATCATCCTCAACAAACACACTCTTAATAGAATTTCCATTGACTTCATCCATTGGACTGTTCATTATTGAAAAATGGCTCCCTTGTGCAAATACTTAGTATGTAGAATATGACTCCCATATCCACAGGGGAAAATATTTTCCTATATTTCGTGTAGATACATGAAACTGCAGCTAAAAGCAAACCCTACTGAAATGAAGGATTTCTGGCCTTAGAATACTATAGAATTGTGCTGGGTGATCTAGGAAATGCTTAAAGAGGCCAAATGAAAGGACAGGTACTGGTCCTGCAGATACATGGCTCGTACTGTATACATACAGTCCCCAAGTTATGAACAAGATAGGTTCTGTAGGTTTATTAAGCTGAATTTGTATGTAAGTTGGAACAGGTACATTTTGTAAGTATAACTCTAGCCATATCTATCTATCTATCTATCTATCTATCTATCTATCTATCTATCTATCTATCTATCTATCTATCTATCTATCTATCTATCTGCCTAACTATCTATATGCCTAACTAACTATCTGTCTGTCTGTCTGTCTATCTTTGGATAGCATAGGAAAGGGCTAACACCCTTGTAGTATTTGTTTTGCTGTGTCCCTGTTCAGAAGATTTCACCTCACTTTCTGTCTCTATGATAATTGCATTTTGAAAAAAAAAGGCTTGTTGTTGTTCTTGTGGGAAAAAGGATTGGTGATGAAAGCTTCAGTTGAGACATCTTTTCCCCCGGATAACTCTTTCCCTTCCAAGGGATAGATTTCTTTCATTTCCTGTTGTCTCACCCCAGTTTGTAACTATGAGTCATTACTAAGCCAGATGTTTGTAGCTCAAGGGCTGCCTGTATGTCTATGCAACAGGGGAAATCAGGAGCACAGTGTTAGCTTTAGGTGGAGAGCAGCAGAATGTTTTGTTTCTCATTTCTGCTTCTGTGTGTTTGTGACTATCCACACTAACATTAGAGGCTCCTGGTGGTGCAGTGGGTTAAACTGCTGAGCTGCTGAACTTGCTGGCTGAAAAATTGGCAGTAGAATCCGGGAAGCGGGGTGAGCTCCTGCTGTTAGCCTCAGCTTCTGCCAGCCTAGCAGTTTGAAAACATGCAAATGTGAGTAGTTCAGTAGTTATCACCTTGGTGGGAAGGTAACGCTGCTCTATTCAGTAATGCTGGCCACATGCTTGGAGGCGTCTACGGACAATGCCGGGTCTTCGGCTTAGAAATTGAGATGAGCACTACCCCCCAGAGTCAGACTCAACTTAATGTCAGGGGAAACCTTTACATTTACCTTTACTTACACTAACATTGTTTTACATCTCCCTTCCTTTTGAATAGTTACATTTTAAAATCATTTTTCCATGTTTTAGTCCTTACTGCTTTGTTGTTTTTGGTTTATTTTTAAATTAGAGGAATATTTGTAAATGTCAGATTTCTTAAACTTTTGTTCTGAGCATCCTTGACACCTCCCCTCAAAGGAAAACTGGGCTATACAACCTGCATCTTAGTTGTGAACCCAACTAAAGTAGAACCATTGAATCAATTATTGAAAGGTAACTGAACAGTTGAACAAATTTCATTGAGTCAATGAGACTGTTCTATTTGGAACTGCCAGTAAGATTCAGACCCCGGTGCTTTACAGCCAAATAAGAAGACTCTTTGTGAGTTTTCTTGTGTTTTCCTGGTTTGGTGGACTGTATTTTAAATTACTTACCAGAGCACACAGAATCTAGGATGTGGTTTCTTTTATGAAATAGATGAAATAAATATTATATTTGGTAGTTGCTTTCTTGTGAGCAGTCTGGAAAATCAGGCCAGAAAGGTAAGTGTTGACCTAAAATATTAATGCATACTATGCTTTTATATATATACACACAGCAGTAGGTGAGCAGTGCCACAAAAGTGTGGAATGACTGGAGTTTACTCTTAAGACCTTACATTGTAGAAACATGCTAGTATTTACTGTAAAATTGTTTTCATTGCAGATAATGTATAACCTTGATTTCAATAATATCTATTTTGCTCCCTCTCTGAAAGGAGTCAATGAAACCACAGTGAAAAATGCATCTAGTTAGTCCTGATGAATCAGTCACAAATATTGCTCCTGATTGTGGGGATAGGAGCAACAGATTTCAGACTATAGAACCAGAAATATTTATTTATTTACTGTATTTGTATACCGTCTCTCAGCCAATCGTCGACTCAAGGCGGTTTCCAACAAATCAGTACATATAAAACATAATACAGATTAAAACATTAAACAATATAAAACACCACAAAAGCAATAAAAACAACATCATTAGAGTCTCATTATTATCAAGCATTGTCCAGTTCCATTGTCAAACCGTTCGATTTGCTATATTAGCTACTCTGCATTTGTAAACGCTTGCTCAAACAGCCATGTTTTAACTTGCCTCCGAAATGTTAAGAGGGAGGGAGGAGATCTAATCTCTCTAGGGAGGGTGTTCCATAGCCAAGGGACCACCACTGAGAAGGCCCTGTCTCTCGTCCTCGCTAAACGTACTTGAGACAAAGGCGGGACCGAGAGCAGGGCCTCCCCAGACGATCTTAGAGTCCTCGATGGTTCGTAAGGGGAGACACGTTCGGACAGGTACGTTGGGTCAGAACCGTTTAGGGCTTTATAGGCCAAAGCCAGCACTTTGAATTGGGCCCGGTAGCAAACCGGCAGCCAGTGGAGCTGGCGCACCAAGTGGGTTGTATGCTCCCTGAGCGCCGCTCCTGTTGGCAACCTGGCTGCTGTTTGTTGGACTAGTTGAAGCTTCCGGACCGTATTCAAAGGTAACCCCACGTAGAGAGCATTGCAGTGGTCTATACGGGATGTAATCAGAGCGTGGACTATCGTGGCCAAGTCAGACTTGATAACTTTAAATCAGTAGAGGGGCTTAAGTCACCGTCGCATGCAGTTGGTTATCTGTATCATCCTGAAAAATGTTAGGGAAGATTTTGACTATTCATTATTCACAGATATGTGGCAAAATTGTTGTCGGCATGAGATTGTATCCAGCCTTTGATGCAACTAGTGCAATTGTAAAAACATCTCCTTTAGCTCATAAGTGCCTAGGAAATATTCTCAGAGGTTTGAAACCTCTTTGGACAAGGTTTTAGGTATATCCTAAGGCTGAAGAGGAGGGGATGGGAAGAGAAGGGAAGGGAAAGAAATTCCATGACATGCACAGGCATCATGTTGTATTTAGTCTATTACAGTGGTTCTCAACCTGGGGTCCCCAAGTGTTTTTGGCCTTCAACTCCCAGAAATCCTAACAGCTGGTGAACTGGCTGGGATTTCTGCGAGTTGTAGGCCAACAACATCTGGGGACCCCAGGTTGAGAACCACTGGTCTATTATTTCTTAGACATAATTTTGATGATATAATAATTCAAAAAAAAATGACTCTGTTTTATGCTTTTGCTGAAATTTTGTACTGAAGGAAGGTTTTCAGGCTTATTTTTCTCCCTTCTGTTCTTATAATCCTGTTGTTGTTGTTGTTGTTGTTGTTTCCTGGGTGGGAACTTAAACTAGATCTTAGAACAATTGAAAAGCACACACTGAAAGCTTAAAAGCACCAACCCCTCTGAAACTATAACAACAAGAGAACTGTTCCAGGATTAAAGGAGACTGAAATGAAAACATATTTGTCCTACCACCTGAATCAGACTTTTGACCACTTCTAGTTTTGCTTTTGAGGAGTGATATGGCCTGAGGTAAGTCTCTGGATGAGGGAATATTCCCCAAATCCTGAGAACAGCCACCTCTGCTTTGTGTATATTTGAAGGACATCTCCTTCCTCTCTGAATAAGTAAACTGTAGGGGACTCGGCCTGTCTCTTTGCCTCAGGCTTCTAAGGAGAATGATCATGAGCCTGCAGAGGTTCCAATGTCTGAGTTAAATGATCAGGATTCTGCTGACTCTGTCGGTGAATAGAGATGATGGTCAAGAGAGTGCAGTTAGCCAGAGTGAACCAGAGGATTCTGGGATAGTTGGTTCACAAGGCAAAGATACTTCAATGCAGGCAGAGAAAGAAGCCGAGGTGGAACAGTCAAGGCCAAATAGTGATAGCGAAAGGAATTTACTAATTGGCAAACCGAAGGAGTCAAGCTTTGACCTATAAGGTCAGATTGATCTGGATCGCCATGGAATTAGGGAGGAGGCGCTCTGCAAGATTGAGAGAAAAGAAGGGTCCGGGAGAGGTTTCCCAAGGGAAACAGAGTGCTTTTGCTATGGCTTTCTCAATAAATATAGCGCCTGTGAATCTATAGTCTTCAGTGAGTCCAACGTTTGGTTTTCATGTACAATCATGTCTTTTGCTTCATACCTGATATCCATGCCTTCCTGTTCATGCTGAGAT